AGTAGCAGCTACCCCTCTCAGTGAAGGAACTGGTTGGTTACTTAGTCATTTAGAACATAGTCCATACTTTCTCGTATGACAGAAAAGGATGTTGGAGAACAGCTCAGATGAAAGAGCATCAAGCACCCTCATATGCAAATTCAAGCTTAACATAACCATTAACCTGCACCTAGTTTTACAATGAGATACTCTGTTCTACATCATTAACTGGAGACTCCCACTAGGTATGCCTCACCATATGAAGAAATCTTCCTTCAGAGCTGAGTCATCTGCAAAGACCTTTCTGTGCAGTGTGCTCAGCTCAGACACTAGGATGGCTTGGGGGCGGGAGGTCCTGCATGCACTATCCGTAGCCACTGTTTTCTGGACTTAATGTGAAGTCAAGGGCAATCTGTTCCTCCAGCAGAGACCAGGAAGCTCCTAATGAACAGCAGGTAACCATCCAGGTGAGTTTACTTGTTTTGAACTGTTTTCAGGATGCATTGGACCACTCCTTAGAGCAGCTGGAGGCTTGTTACACCACATCAGACACCACCTTTCTCACACAGGGTGTTATGGCAGTTTACATCTGTACACCACCAAATTCAAAGCTGCAGTCAACCTGTCAGTGTGTTCTTGAGGACAGTACGGGTGACAGCTGCTGAAGCAGCTAGATCTCACCGTTGTATTGAGAAGAATTTAATGCAGCATGCAGAAGCATAGCAGTTAACAGATTAACAGCATCAGTACAAGTCTACAGATGAACCACTTTTGGCTGAAGCGGACAGTGCTGATTCAATAATCACAAATACAAATTCTTGCCTCTGTTTCTGGGAAGCTATAAACATGTCAGCAAAAAGGCTCAAATATATCAAGTAGTTGGACTATGAGAGAAGCAGAGAATTCTTTGACAAAAGTTGAAGTTGGCCTCAGAAACCAGAGGCACCGGTTCCTCCTCCTGTCAAATTACACTCAGGCTGGCCTGAGACCACTGATAGTGTTTACACATGCAAAGACAGGAGCTTAAAAACATTTTATATTTACTGAAGTGCTTCAGAATGGGCTGTACCACATACACAAGTACCTCCTCCTTCTTCCTAGTATTCTACAGTTCAGTGCATTTAGGAGATGCACCACGCACGCTGCAGCTGGCTGTGCTGAGAATATATCCAAACCCATCGATGTGTGCGCACACAAGTGTGTGTTTATACAACTTAGTTAAAAATTGTCTTAAGTGCTTGGACAGAGCAATCAATATGAATTATGTATGAATCATGTAAATAACACACTTGAAACAACTTAATTGTCAGGAAGTCACCCACCACTTCCCGAGTTCAGACTTGTCTTTAGAGTACTTCAAAACTAGACATGCACAGTACCAGCATTAAAAAAAAAAACCCAGAACTGCACACTTCCTCAGCCCTTTTATCTTTTCAAACTTCTTAATTCTGAAGGAACTACAGAGAAAGAATAGGACCCCATAGTCCCACGAACATCTCAATTCCTAGTTACTACCTTTTCTCATTTGAATGCTGGCTGATCAATATGCACAGTCCACTACGGCTCACTCCAAAGCAGAACCCTTCTCATTTGAAAGCACACTTCAGAATGACGGTTTAGCAGTGACTACAGAAGGACAACCCTTTTTAACAAATACAGCATTAACACCAAGTGTTTCTATAAGGGTATAGCAGGAAAGGTGCTCTGGAGAACTCCAACAACAACAGAAACAAGGTCACTTGAGTTTTAGCAGTCAGTAGGCTTATTTTAGCAATCTTATGCCATTGTCTGATACAAGAACCAGTAGAAGACAGTCAACACTTCGTATCTTTCATTTGAAAAAAATAGCAAAGAGGGATTTTCCATTAGTTCTGTTTGGTGTAAGGAAAAGCAGGTTTCATTTGCAACGTTCACAGTCAGGCTTCAGTGCCCTGGCAAAAGAACCAGGTTAATCTATTACCCAAGATGAAATCACAACAACCTTTAACAGATAATTGGTGTAGAAAAAGACAGGAAGAGTAGCACATAGTGGAGTTCAAAAGCAGTTCCAACAGATCTGTAAGTAACAGGTTCAGGTTCCATCTGAAAAAATGAAGTATCTCTATTATGCCCTTGAGAATCAACCACAAATCTACCTAATTATCACAGACTAAAGTAGTGAGACAACCAGATAAACTTTACCTGAGCAAATGAGTAAGTTGAATCTCATGAGACATGAGTGACAATCTGCTCAACCACAGCTAGGCAAGATTTGGTTCTCTTAGTCTGGATGACTGTATGCCAACAGACCATCATGATCTAAATTACAGTCTTCAGAATCCATGTTTTGAGATGCAGAGAACACACATCATAGGAAAGCACCCACACCACTCAGAAGAGATCCAGAACAAGAAGGCAGAACGCTCCTTCTGAAGAAGGTCCTAGAATCAGAATTACAGTACTTAAGCTATGGCCAGAAAGATGAACTAAAGGGAATCCTACCTCATTTGCAACATACTTACTGATTTAGAGAAGGTAAAAATGCACAAAAATTTCTCCTTTCCAATGGACAAAGATGTATCAAACACTAAGCCCAGACTCATCTAAGAGAGAAATTCTGAAAGATACTACTAGCAAAACACAATGTAAAGTTCAGTTCTCATTACTGCTTCGGCTTGTGGAAGAAGAGTAAGAAGCACACACTGACTTCCCTGTGATGTCATTAAGACATGTCATTACACACAAGTCATTAACCAAGACTAAGCACAGGGAAAAATCACAGGCTTGGAACAATTTGAACCAGAAAACCAAGCTGGGTCTCAGCAAGTCCAAAAGATTTCATGAACTGTCCTAGCTAAAGCAGGCAGGAAGATGCCTCTATTTCTATGCTGAGTATTTTTTATTACCTTAATTTTCCTCCATGCTGTAACCTTACTTACTCAAACAATAATGGAACAGAAGGATGCCAAATCCTTACCTGTTAGGAAGTAAGATGCAGAAACTAAGAGAAAGACAGAAATTAAAAACTTAAAAAAGGCTTGTTGCTGCTGCATTAACTTCCATTTTCCATCCTGGTTTGGGAAACAATACAGACACTTTTATAATGAAACTTGAAGCACTTATACTACACTGGAGAAAGCACTATTTATCCTGAGACAGTCAGAAGTGATTGTTTAAGTATATAACTGTATAAGACATACGTCAGAAAACAAAACAATCTCCAAGGAAATTAAAACTAATTTAAAACAGGAAGATAAGTTTATAATGAACAACAGTAACAACCTGATTCATCTTCCTCAAAGTCTTTCATAACTCCTCAGTGGATTTCACACAAAGACTGAAATGTCACAGTAAGTTTCCACAGGAGGATGCAGATGACAATACAGAACTCACTGTTTTCAAGAGGTAGATACAAGGCTTAACAGGAGCAAGAAGGTAGGTTTCACTCAAAAGCATGGTCACACTGGGTTGCATTTACAATGATATGAGATTGTTTCAACTATCCTGTTGTCTTCTCAGTGACTACCTGTCAACTCACTGAACAGGGGGAATGCTTGCTTAATAAATAAATAATGTTAGTCAAAACAAAGACTTACACTTTTACTTAAATGGAACAATCTTGCTATAAAATCTAGTACAAGGCTTACACTTAAAAATAATAGTTTAACTGGTCAAGAAGGCATGATTCATCCACTCTGCCAAGTAACAGAGACACAGGCCTGAAGAGGCAATGAGCTACTGCATATACTGCCGATCTAGCCACTTTTACAACACACTCTTGCTTGAGTAAAAATCCTTTATCAGAAGTCCTGAGGGTTAAATCCATTGCCCTTTGATATCAACTGACATCACCATTCCTCAGTTTCAAGTGCCTGAGCCTCTAGCCATTTCAAAGAGTATCATGAAACGTGGCAATGCATATATTCAGTACAAGCCATTCAAAGCAAGCCTATTTCATCCTAATTGCTGCTAAATACACTGTAGGAAGGCAAACCTGTACAAAGGTATTAGACTTAGTCCACCTCACAAATGCATTAAAATATCTTCTAATAAAGAAGACTCATAAATTCCATTGCATGCAAGTCAAATGTGATTAAACAGGCTGGGTAACACAGCCATTCAGAAGAACTCTCCGAGTATGTTCAAACCTTCGTAAGCCTATGTGAGCAGCATAAAGTGTTGGTAAAAAATGGCAAATACAACCCCCCCAAAAACACACCTCCAAAGCCTTCCCTTCAAGTTCAGGATTCCTTGTACAATTAATACAGTTAATGGGTAAAACACATCCTACACCTCCTCAGAACAAGCTCACACTACATCAAATCTAGGCTAAATCCCAGGCTTAACTCATCTCCCACACAAGCTGTTAAAACTAACAATAAATGCAATAGTAAAGAAGAACCCTCAAGACCACCGGAAGGTAAGCCAACCTAGATTACCTCTTTTGCACCCTTTAATTAGAAGGCAAACTACACTGAAGGGTGAATTCCACTCACCACCACTCCCCACACCTCCACCCAACTGATATTACCTATCAGGAATGGAGGGAAGGGGGACAAAATACTCTCCTTTTTCAATTTTGAGCTCAGTATGAACTGCATAGTGGACTGATATGACAGTTCATTAACAGAAGGACAACATACTAGAAGACTTTGCTGAACAGCAGGTAACAGGGCTGAAATACAGTTTCAACTAATTTGCTGCCAGTATCTCCTTCACTTTTCATGGCTACGTAGCTAGTTAATTCAATTTGTTAGCAAGGGACAAATAGCCCCATTGGAAAGGACGAAAGTTTTATTCCTTATAAGCGTCAAACTTACGTAAGCCAACACACTGCTGTCCTGTATTTGGAATTTCTACTTCGATTGCAATTCATGTATTGAAATGAGCAGTTTTGTTTCCAAAACTGCTTGTTCAATAACAGATCAGAAGGTGATAGAAGGACAGCTGCCAACCTTAAAGCTAATATACAAAACATTTTTGGTCAAGCTGATCTGGAAGTAATTCTGAACTGAAGAAGAAACAACTTAGAAACTGACTTGATTCAATCATTTATAAAGTACAAATAAAAGGACAACCATAGTTACCAATTCCACCTATGATACTGTGTTTTTTCCCCTCCATTTTCACACAACTGATCAGTTTATAATAATTCGCAATGATGAATGCCACTAAAATTTGCTGCAGAAAATGCAAGAGAAAGCAATAAGGGCAATGCCATTATACATGTGTTGTTTTTTTTATTTCTGTATGCAATGTAATGTTTAGGCACGTTGCTTGGGACGCCTTCTAAAATAAATCATTGGCCATTGTTTAGAGTATCCTTTTGGCTTTAAATACTGGTCAGGAAAACAAATTGTGTAAAAAATAAATGAATACAACTATTACAGAAACAAAAATGGATTTGCATCTAAAAGTGCAGGAGGTGAAGTACTTTAACCCTTTCACCAGACAATGTGGCAATATACAGTCTATTGCTTCTGTTTGTTTGAGAAGGCTGTTGGAATTTTACACTGACATAGAAAATTATAAATTACACTGAATTAGTTTCCATAATCACTATATATATACAAACCAGCTGTGAAAAAACTGGTTTAGAACATACAAATGAAAGCCTCACACAGATCAGTACAGTGAAAGTAACAATTAACATGCTCTGCTGCCAAAATTGGTATTAAAAACACTATATACTTTTAAAATGCATGTACTGTAATTACATTAGCAGCACGGGCATTTCATTTACTTGACTTGTCTAAAAGGTTTATAGCGTTTTAAATACGCAGATTGTTCTGAAATGTTCCATTGTATAATGCTTGGTATTAAACTAAATCTTGGTGAATGGGTTAAAAGGCAGGTGAATCACTTAAACACAACAAGCCATGTGCACTTCAAATATTCTAGTGTTTCACCTGTAAGGTATTGTTTCAAGCAAACAAGACTTAACAGAACATATGGCTTTACAGTAACATCAATTTGTCAACTAAGTTGTAGCAATAAATACTTAAAATCTCTACCAATAGACTTACATTTCTGATCTGTTTTAAACAATACAGAAAACAATTACCAATTAAAAAACCTGTTGTAAAATGTTGAACACCAAAAAATTCTTATTTAAATCACTTTTGTAAGCTAAAACAACCAAAATAACATTTATAGGGCATTTCAGTTTCAGAAGAAACATGAATTCATCTTTTTTTTTTTTTTTAACAAGGTGAAAAATGTATGAAAACTGCTAAATACTTTGGTCACACTAATCATCAAATAGTTATGTCTCAAATACATTAGATTTGTGTATTCACTTTTTTATAAAACTATTCTTACAGCCGTTTTAACTATAGTAACACTACTGTCATCATTACATGGGTAGCAGGATCTTATTTCACAGGCCACCCATTATTTAGAACAATACAATATAAACATACGCAAAAATTATTGGTATTTCTCAATGTGCAATATTTTTACACTTATGAATTTCTGTACAATGTCTTAAAATCTAGAATATAAATGTTGCTGGTCCTGATCCCTTGTGAAATTAGTGCAGCAGTGACTGGCTTCAACAGGGTCTAGATGAAATCCTCAAGAAACACTCAAACACCTGGATATCAGTTCATTTTCTTCAGCCAAGGTAGTAGACATCACATATCATACAGGGCCATTAACAGATGCCTCTCCTAAATGGGTGTGTTGATCAGTCCTAAGAGGCCAAAAAAAGATGTAAGTATACAAGAAACAAGGGTCCAAAACAAATTTGGGTAGGTGCAAAAACAAAACAAAACAAACCCACACAAACCCCAAAACCCAATAACGCCAGATCATGTGTAGCATGACCCCTGAGTTGAAGAGAGGAAACACATGCTAATAACATGCTCATCCCATTTATTTTCTGGAGTTCAGCATTTCTGGAGTCCTTATTGTCTAATTAAGCACAGCACTTTAACTGAGCACACCACTGAAGAGTGTTTGATCTTTATTAACTGGGCTACTAAGTGATCTCTAGAGATGCAATATCTCCCCAAGAGAATCACTAATAAAAAGCACATTTCTGATACATCTCCAAATATTATTCTGTGAGGCGAAATGTGATACCAGGAGTATTTAAGGCTGCATTTGAAAGTAAGCAGCTAAGACACAACAGGAAAAACAAGTGTCTTAAAAAAACCCTGCTTTAGTTACTAATCTAATCTACAAACTGCCATTTCACAAATACTTTGAATGTCAGTCCATTAGCACGAAAAGGTCAGGAAGTACGGAGGAAAATAAGGAATAAACCTGCAAAAGTGAAAACAATAACAGTATATACATTTCTAGGTAAGAAGTTTAGTGTAAACATGGGCTCAATTGCTCTGGACTAATACAGAGAGATCAAATCAGTAGTACATGAGAACATTAAGAATTGCAAGCAACAAAGGCAAAAAATCTCAACTTTCACTGAGTGCAAGCCTACCGAATACATTTGAAGATTCCCTTAAAGAATATAAATACCATTTGGAACTACACATGAGAAAAATTACCTGTAATTCCTGTTCTCTGATGGTGTACATCACAGAGAAGCCACTCTTGGGTCCGTGCTCTACATGCACATGACCAGCAGGAGTCCCCTAGCTAAGTCTTTGGCTGCTAAGCTCTAAAAACACTTTTCAAAAAAAATATGTACGCATTAGACAAAAGACAGACAGCACTAGACAAAAGTAAACACTTTTTAGAGAAATCTGGAAGGTAAGAAACAAGTGCTGCATGGACAGGAAGTCTGACAGTCCGCACAGCGGTAAGTCACATTAACTGGAAAAAAGTCCATGACAGAACAGGGCTCCTAGCAGAGATTTCTACTGCTGGCCACCAGCCAAAGACCTACCTAGGGGACTCCCCCCACTAGTCATACATGCATGGAGCCCCAAAAGCACAATTATGTTTATCTTGATATTTATACTGCGCTTATATGAGGATCTGCTGTGACAGCCACCTTTAGAGAAAGTACTGAGCTTTGCTGAAGCCAGCTGGAATCAATGAAAGGAGTTCTTTGAGATTTCCTGCAACTCAAAAGCAATCCAACGAACTGCTAGTTCTGAGAGCCCTCTGTTGGTTTAGACAAGCATCTTTACTCAAAAGGCAGTCACCTAGTACCCAAAGACTTCTTCCCTACAATTTAATGCTTATCAGCATTAAAAATATTGTCTTGATAAAAACAGTACCTCCAGATAAAGAAGAGGCTGTGAAAGACAGTTTCTGGGTTTCCCACTTTAACTAAGTATACAGGGTTGTTTTTTTCCTGATTAGAATCCACTTCGTGATTAAATTTAAGGAATTTATGCAGAGTAGAAAGTTCTGGCTTACAAGAAAAGGTAGCAGTGTTTTAGTGTAACACCCAGTACCATAGAGGTAAGACATACTAGCTCATAAACAAGTCTAAAAAACAGAATCTAAATTTGTCAAACATGCTTGCATCTTTCTTAGTCTGCATACAGTATAATCAGAACATGCAGTAGGGTTCTGTGTTGTCTGTAGAGCTCTACTCTGAATCTTGCTTACAAAAGCATTTCAATTTTATCTTCACTAGAAAGCTAGATATATAACAGTGTCCACAAAGTCTTAAAAATGATTGCTTTTCACGGGATTTGTGTGAGAAATACCACATTTCTCTAATAATAGTTTAAAATCTATTAAAGTCAAGAAACACAACAGCCTTTAAACTATTAAAACAACTAGTGAAATACAGATTCAGAAAATATACATGTGTGCATATATACATTCTGAATTCTGATTTTCAGAATCATACCCCTGTTTATACTGCAAGGCAAAAGTGACTCCTGGAATTGCTTTTAATTAAGCAAAATCCTCTCTCCCTTCAGAACATGCTCCCATTCAGAACATCCTCAGCTCCCCAACAAGAAGGCAGCATGCACAGCTCTGACCCCCACGAGCCCTGCCCTGCAGGAAGAGGAGCAGACCCTACAGATTACTCAAGGTTTAGTAAATACACATTTAGGTTTTCCTTTCAGAAGGGTTTTCTTTGAGACAGCACACTTCCTCTGGGCACTCTTGAATTACATCTAAAATAGGAAATGGCAGCATACCACCCTTTGCCTTAACATCAAGAATCAAGCCTGTGGGATTGTACCTGATGTTCAACAAGCCATTAGTTCTGTTAGGAAACCAGTAAACTCTTGCCTATGTATTAATTTTAAAGTACTTATGAATACCTAAGTTCCAGAGCAAGGTCTTCACTGAATACTGCCTTCAAGGGTGGAAGTGTTCTCACCTACTTTAAGCTCTTCATTGTTTTAGGCTTTTAAGATAAAGATGAATCTTGCTCTGACTAAAGTCTAGAAACTAGCTTGGATATGAAACATCTGCATTAAGCATTTCTAATATTTGGTGATTAACATCACCCTATGTGCATTTGATTTTGGTGAAGCCATACTAGACTTAGAGTTGATTCTGTATGTTTCCATACCATTGTAACTTGGGAAGCAAAGAAGAACTCAAACAAGTACTTCAACAGGAAATGAAACAGCAGAAACACTGTCAAACACCTTCTTTTGCAGAAAGCAGTACACCTGACAATTTAAGAGAAACAAATTTATGCAAGAGCAGCTTTCTGTTTGGTGGTGGTCCCCTGAGAATTGTATCTTGAATTACTATTCTCCGAGACTGCACTAGTAGCCAAGCTGCCAAAGAAAAACGTCTTCTTTTCTTTCCTCCCATAAGTTTGCTGAGCAATCCAGGCTGCTCCATATTTCAGGCAAGTTTTATTTGAAACAAATTATTTATGTACTTTGAAAAATCTTCTCCAAATCTACAACTATTCAGGTTAATACCCGATGAAGACAAGGGTGCAAATAACAACTGATTAACAATCAAACAAGCATCACTTAAGGCACCATTTCACTTCCATACAGCTGCACTAGTGGACTCCCCTCAAACTGTTCTGCAGTATAGAATACAGAATGAAAAAATGGTAGACCTAACTTACATAAGTTTTCAGGACAAAGTCAAACTTATTCCCCTAATACTTTTTCTTTAATCACCATTTTCTTAAGTGTATCAATACACTTTCTAACTTGATAACATATCACAAAACAGAATGGGGATACAACTCCCTGCAAGACAAATAATAGAAGGCAAATATGTTTTTGACAATTCAAAAGTCTTAGAATCAACAGAAAATACAACTTGTGAGAATTTTATAAAATAGATGCAAGCACATGTTTAGATTGAGCTAAACTCAGAGCTGATAACAGGAATTCATTAATCTCTTTAGATCAATCCTATTAGAAAAACATGCAGACTGCTATTTAGAGGATTGAAAGCATCCTTGAATGCAGTTACCTCTGTTCTGGACTGCTGTCAGTAGGCTGCAGAGCTGAAGGAGCCTCTTCTGCAACCTCTGCATTCTCTTCTACTACATATTTACAAGAAGCATCCTGCGAGGTAGACAATTTTCCTTCCTCACTTAAAAAAAAAGGAAAGAAGTTACTTAATTTTTCATTTTACTTATAGGGAAATTTCAGGCAACAGGAGAAAACTGGGATACGGGCCCATATTTCACATGCAAATGGATTTTAAGTTATGATTGCAGCATGAAGATCAAGCACATGGCTCTAGACTTCACAAACACCTAGTAATGCACCGGTGTTCACATTCATTAAAACTTGACTGGGTAAAAGGGCAGGAAATACAGTGATTACGAGTAAGATCAGAAAGGAAGTGTGTGATGCCTGAAGTAGTAACAATCACAGACATGATCCTTTACTATACATACCGATAGGATTTCAACACTCTGAAGCCAGAAGTATGCAAAAATGGAAGGAAGAAAGTATAAGAGAAATTCAAGATTCCTTCAGAAACTGGCATTAAAGTCTGTCCATGAAACATATCAGCAGAATCATTAACTCATCACCATCTTTATTAAACTCCCTAATAAATACACAGTGAAATATGATGTATGGGTTATGTGGTACTAAGACTGCAGCCCAATCTATTTCATGGATTTCCTCTCAGAGACAAAACCAAACATAGTTCAGTGAAAAAGCAGTACACTCACACTATATAAGACATTACCATGTAACTAGGCAGCCTCAAAAGTCATTAACAAACAAATACAAAATCAAAGCTTTTCTGCCTCTCTATTTATTCTACCCTCTCCCACCTCAGCCACACCATTATGAGTGCACTAAAATACAAATTTGACCATATACCTGCAAGAGACAGTTACAAGGTAGCTCTGAAGTAGACACAAAGATCAATCTTATACCTCTGTGGCAACAAATCTATTTATGCAAGAAGTCAGGAACATTTTAAAGCCACTCTGCTGATTTTTCTTCCTATTCTTACAGTTCTCCTTTCAATGGATCCTTTAAATTTCAATGAATCCTTCTCTTTCCTCCCATGCCTCCTTATATCTGCAGAGCCTGTAAAAATATTGTCTTTTGCATTGCAATCTCTTATCAAGATCCAATTTTCCCCATCTGATCTCCCCATCTCATTTGCCTTGATACTCTTTGTATTTGTTCAAAATAAAATACTTATCACCATCACCATTAGAACTGGTCTCGTAATTTTTTTATTTTTTTAAAAAGGGGTAGTCTCTGCTATCATTCTTCCCTTCTCATTCTCCATTTTGAACTAAGTTCAGAAACCGCATTTTTGTCCTTTGCAGCTTTCCACAAATTAACTACTGTGCTTATGATGCTCCTCCTCCTCTCTACATGGACTTCAACACCATCAATTTTCTATTGGCAGAAACCTATATAAAACTTCGGTCTGGAAGCATCCACCTTGCCAGGTACACAGGCCAGAGCAGGCCCTCCTCTTGCTTCTCTAATTGTCCCTTAATATAGACTTTTTTATTCCAGCATTGTTTTAGGTATTTATTCCAAAGGAAATACTACTTTTCTCTCCCATTTGTTGTTCTGGCACACTTAAATGTTGGTTTAAAGAAAGCCATGTGAGCATTGACTCAGTATGAGGCCACATACTTCTATCAGAGTAGAACAGTCTCCATATTTAAGACCTCACCTTTTAGCCTCCTTCTACATTTCCTTAATCTCCCCTTTCCATATCAAGATCCCAGAGTCCCCACTGCTAAAGGTTTTCAAGTTGTGGCTGGACAGAGCGCTAGATAATCTCATCTGGGCTCCCTTTCCCACAAAAGGTTGGGCCAGATGATCTTTTGAGGTCTCTTCTGACCTGGGCGATTCTATGATGTTGCCTCCCTTTGCACCTCTGTGTCCTTTCAACTACAAGAATTGAAGTGCTTACTCCAACAGCTCAAGCAGGTAATTCCATGAAGGCAGGCAGGAACTGCCACCACATGCTTCCTCCTCATGTTAGTTTTTGCACCAGTATCAGAAGTCACAGAACTTTAAACTGCATGTGAACTAAAGCAGTTTAAGGAGAAGTGTAAAAAGAACTGTAAACATCTAACACAACAGGACTGCAGATCATATAAAAGCATTCCCCAATATACAGAATAAACTGGAGAGCAGATGCGTCATCTACGAAGTCAGCAAGGCACTATGTCTTGCCACATCAGTCCGCACTGAGTCACAATCCTCCTCTAAACTGCTTTGGTTCAATTCCTCTAACAATGCCATTTAATTTATAAGTGCTGTGCAGCCACAAATGCTCCCTCCTCCATATTGAAAAACATCAGAAGTTAAGTCAGGTGCCAAAAGAGATTAGAGTTGTCATTTATTGCTTTGATAATCAAAAGGATGGAAGCAAGAGCGACTAAAAGCTGTCACGTTTCAATTCCTGAACTATCCAAAATGAATAGCACTTATCTACTACCACTAACGGGACAAAGTAAAATGAATTTAAAAGAAGGGCAATATAAGGACTAACACTGGGAAGTTTTTTCTACTGAAATGGACTGGGATTTTTTTAAGCAACTTTCAAGACATATGGACAATTTCTTTTCAATATTTAAAGCTAGAATAGGGACAGATACTAGGAAGTTATTCTAAAAGAATGAGAAGATGGTTGCACACCAAAATGCTAGTAATATGTTCCGATTTGTCAAGATCGGGGTGGGGGGGCTACCAGCTTCAATTAATAAAGGCAAAATTATTTTTGCAAGGTCAGACTGTCTGTAGCCTCTGTTTCAAATAAAAAGCACTTGATCATTAAATCTAAAACCACAAGATCTTAGTAAATGAGATCTCAAGTAGACAAAATGGAAGTGTGCTTTATTCCTATAAACCGATCACAATATTGATATATGTAATATGTAACCATATTGTAAGACAGTTATTCCTGAATCAAACACTTTGTTATCAGAAGATACCAAAATTAAGGAGTTTGTTCTTCCCGTTATTCTAGAATTCTATGGGCCACCTGTAGTCCAGAACAGATTTGACACCATCATCCATACCACCAGTGATCACTGCAAATGTCTGATGAGTTACTCTCAAGAGCAGTGCCTGGCTGGCCTTCAACTTCTGTCCTTCATCCTCCTGGATAAGAGGGATAGAATTCCAACCCAAATCTAACAATTCTGTGCAAAATTTTAAAAGCTTAGCTTTGACGTACAATTAACTGTATGTTAAAAGAATAATTGTACATAAAAATGCACAATAATGTGCATCAGGGTCAAAAGTTAAGTCAGTTTTCCACTAATGATCTTCCACTGAAATTAAGGCTTGATAAGGGAAGTCATATGTTATAGTAACTAACTGGAAGTAAAATTTCAAAACAATTACTTTGGAAGAAGGTTTCTAGTTAAAGCCTCAGGAATTATCATCACTTGCAAAAAACTCTTTTTGATGACACAGTGTTCCATCAACAGTGCTTATTTTACAAGGGTGGGAAGACAATAAACAGGTATTCTCACCTTTTGAAAACAGCCGTTTCAGTTTTAGCATCTACAGTAAGGCTCAGTGTCTCCTTCATGCTGCCGTTCATTACTGTTTCAGTTACCTTGTCTGCATTTTCTACATCATCCTCTCCATCTGAGCTGGCCTCCATAGCAACACTCCCTGGGGCTAGATATATAGGAGTAATTTAGTACACGGCTGGTTATGTTTCTATTTCGTGAGCAAGCATACAAGCCAATATAACCAGAACAATATTTTTGCAGTTTTGTACACTTCTTAAATTCTTCCTTACACAGAAAGTCACCTTTCTGCAACCCCCACTATACACATATATAGAGCATAAGTACTTTTTAACAGATGGCTTAAGAAAAAGTCACATTTCATAACTTTTTTTTTTTCCCATTTTGTAAGCCACTTAGTAATTTAGATTGACAATGGTTACTGCAACAGGTTTGCGTGAACAAGACTTTAGTAGGATTATAGTGATGTATTATTTTTCTGTACAGTCAAATTCATTACACAAGCCCACACAGTGCAAATTTCACAGGAAGTTTCCAAGTACAGACAAGCCTTTGGGAAGTCCAGTCTCCCTGGACTTCTCATCTGCACTTCTTGTTCTGTCTGTAATAATATATACAAAAAGCTAATTAGCACATATTTGGCCTTTAACTAGTTCATACACGTAGAAGAAAGAATTAGTGCATGCATAGTGAAGGTAACTTGGAAAGGAATGAGCAGGAAGTGGAAATTCGAACATGTTGAGGCTACTGGCCTGTTGCCACATAGGAAGAGGCTAGAAGCTACCACTCTTCTCAAGCATCAGCTCAGCTAACTAAGTGCTGACACAGGTGAGGATTCTCTAACAGAACACACTTAGCTTCTTTGTAATGCTTTTTTGTTCATGATGTGGAGGCTTTTTAGAGGTAACAGTAACACTGGCTCCCGTTTTAAATAGAAAACTATTTTAAATAGTTCAGAAATTCTTTGACAAGTCATTTTCATTACCTGGCAGAACAGCAGCAGAGCCAGATGAGAGGTCTCTGGAAACCTAAATTTTAAAGTTCAGGGAGATCTTTCTTGGGTACAACTCTTAAAATCAATCTGTTCGCATTCTGAATGCAGTGTACTTACTCTCTAGCTGTGTTGCAAGAGCAGTTACATTTGCACTCAAGGGATCAATTGTGTCTGTGTTTGTTTCCATTTCCACAGGAGAATTACTTCTTAAGGAATCTTTTGAGCTTCAAATACAAAGTAAAAGAGCTTTAGAAACATTTCTGAATAGCAGAATGAAATGTTCTTAAAACAGTATTTTTAGTTCTATATCAAAGCTATGAGGCCTAGAACTCTACTGAAACTGAATGACAGCAAGCTTTTTTGTAGGAGTCTTGGGAAGACATGCTAAACAGAAGTTTAGTAATGCAAAATCCACCAGAATTGAGCTGACTGAGTATATGTTTGGTGGTGGTTTTATTTGGTTTGTTTACAAGTAGTAGTGGACATGTCCCTGGTAAATAAGGCATACAAGTATCACTGGCTCCTTGCAGTGTTTCCAACATCTTTAACTGACTTTCTAAATGCACTCTTTGCAACTTGAAAAATGGTTCTCTGCTGAGACTGCCAACACAGTCCATCATCTACTGCGGAAGAGATTCTAGTACTTAATCGTATATACAGTATAGCTACAAGTTTTTCATTCTGGAGGAACTCAGAAAGAACTTTTCTATCCACTAATGTGGCAACTCCAAGTGTTCATTCTCTAAACCCGTATTGTCAACTTACCTGCCTTGAGCATGAAACAATACACTGTTTTCTGTTGGAAAAAATAATACTTTTATATCCGAGCTGTTTAACGCCCAGACAGACAATTGAAAGCCAGATGTATAAAAGGAAGAGTCTTCTGATTGAAGAAGGAATCAGTTCTTGACTGCTAGTATTTGGCAACTCAAAATTTATATCTATATGATTAGGTACTTACACAGATGACTTCAGTTATTTTTTATGTAGAGTTCAAGCCAAGAAGGAAAAAGTGTATCTCAGGCATTCTCAAAATAGTACAGAAGTGCCTAACCTAGATATATCACAGCTGCATAACCATGCAAGTTTTCAAAAAAACCCCAACCAAACGAAAACAAAACCACCCAAACCTGTTTGTTCTGTAACATCCATTAAACAGAATCATCATAGACATTTTATGACCTTTACATTCAATAGTTCACGTTTAACTGTTCACTGGGTTCAGTCTACGCTAAAAATAAAATAATCACAGCCCATATTCTGGTGAGAGACCAATATTAAAGGACCCAAATATTCTTTAAAAACCCTCTAAAACAATGACACGCTAGGATCCACCCATCCTACAAAAGCCTGCTATGAGGTAGACCATACAAAGGCATACTGCTATAACACATGGAGCCCTTCAGATGCTACACACCTTGTATTCCACCAGAACGCTACCAACACAGGCTTGGGTAGAGATGGACACCCCAAGGAAACCAAATGGCAGTTGCCATTACATTTAGTAGTGAAGAACTTGCCCTGAATCACTAACATTCTTACCTCAAAGAGGATGTGAACTCTGAAAAGGAAGCCCAGCCAGTTTCTTTTGCTGGCATAGGTTCTTCTGTACTCCACACATCAGACCCAACAGAATCCAGACTGGCACCGTGTGCAGTCTCCATGGGTACATCAAAGTTAGCTGACCAGTTTGGTGCTGAAAAACCATCAACAAATTCATTAGGAAAAAATTCAAATAAAGAACATGAGTGCACATGTGCCTAACACACCAATTATCTACATGTACATTCCAAAAAGAGCAGAAAAATTCATAACTAGACTTTAAAGCACATGCAGAAGAATCTTCTATATACTGTTAAAAAATGAATGCATTCCTTAAAAGGGATATTCTGCTATTAAGGCAGAATTTTAAAAACAGTAAACTCAGAGTATTCTGCTAAAAATCAATATAGCTTATCTGAAGAACAAAAACAATAAACCATACTAGATCACAAGTGTAATCCCACTTTATTCTTTAAACATCAACATTTGTTACCATTTTTCAAAACTAACGTCTATAATAAAAAAAAACTTAAAGAGTTTTCATCCCTTTTTCAGTTTCCCATGTACATTTTCATGAACATAGAAAATGAGCACGTCAACTTAGGTATGGGCAGTCTCTAAATAATTTCTCATGCACTAACACCACTAAGTTTCAGAAAACTTTAAGGCTTTTTACAACTTCAAATATTTATTGGGATTTTAAATTTTGGAGCAACTGTGACTTAACAGCATCTAATTTCGGATAGGTCAATTCAAAATACTTCACCTACCCAAGGGAAACATGTTTTTCATTAACACTTACACACAAAAAAAACAGGCTGAAAAGGAAGCTCTGACTAGCAATTAGAAATTCCAACCCAGGCAGATATGGGAGGAGACCCACATGGATCAAAACTTGTTTGACACACAGATGCCAACGACACCAATCTGACAAAAGAAAAGAAAACCCTTAACTTTTCCTTCTATTTTAGTTTAATTCTTTACAGTCTAGATAAACACAGGGTTTTTACCTACAGATATTCCCAGTTTAACTAAAGCCAGTTTAGTCTACTGCGACTTGAACGTGAAAACTTTTAAACCAATTACATCAGTTAAGTTTCCACATAAGAGTCTACTGATGCACATCTTCCATTCACACATGAAACCAGACCAATGCAAATTCACTTGGCTTCTGTAGGAAGTCTTAAAATATCACTGTTAGATGAAAAGTTGGTCTGAAAGGCTTCTAGAAAAACAACCATATTTTAGGTTTGGAGATTAATAACCTATTAGTTTTGCAGGCATTCAAATGTATAAATGATTATATTTCATCCTCCCCTGATACCTCCTCCTTTTTTCCTCTTGAAGACTAGAAACATGAATTTTAGAGAGACTAAGTAACTTGATTCAAAATGCGTAAGGAATTCAAGCTTCCCAACATTTTCATGCTTTGTTGCAATCTGTCTTTACAGTGGGAAAGACTACTTTATTAAGATAGTTGGAATAAAAATGGTAAACAAGGAAAACTCCTACAAAGTAAGACTGCTAGATCTGACTTTCCTATAAGTCAAAGCAGCTGGGAGAAAAGCTACGTACGTTCACTTAAGTCTACTTCCATTTTGTCCTCTGTATTGGCGTGTGATTCAAACAAGTCTTGTTTTGTTCCATCCTCCTCTTCAGAATCTGTACTTTCTTCACTGTCCGTACTGCCCGAACTTAAAATACAAAGAAATAGTTTATACTGTGTTTAGTATCAGACCCTGGGCACAATGAAATACTGAAGAGTTTGAGGCTAAAGAGAATTGCAACAGCTATAATTTCTGATAGATTAACTGAGGTATAATTTCCTAGCTGTTAGTATTCCCCACATTTCTCTCTCAAAAAACCAAGGTTTAAGGTTTTTTACTTGATTGTGTAAAGAGCCTATCTTTTTTGCCCCCATTTGCAAGTAGAAGACAAATACTGGTTTTATTCCTGCCATGCAAAAGGGAGCAGAAACGGAAAGTAAGGAATCAGATCTGTGTACAGAGATTGTTGGTCTGTTTGGTCTCTTCACACTAATTGGAAGCGCTGAAATACAAAAACCTCTCTTCAACACTGACCTAACAAGATATGACTTGATTTACTTCCAAATCTAACAACAAATCTAAAAAATCTTTTTTAAAATCTCTCCAACTGTATTCCACTCCATCCTCTTTACCTACATACATACTTTAAACCTATGGGCATCTCTCCCTTCCTGATGAGCGCAACTAACACAAAAAGCAAGATAATGTGAGAAGGTAAGGATGTCCCTGAAACACATAATATTAAGTAACCACAACACCATCAGACAAAATAATTGATTTTGTACAGAAGGTATTAGCAACATGCATTTCAAAGGTTGCAAAGGAAGAAGAGAACAGGTTTGTGACTCAAGCCACAAGAAGGTCAGAAAAGCCAAGACTGCCCTGGGACAAAATTCAGTAGATATCAAGGGAGGCTGCACAGCCCTGAGAGTTTTGGGGACCAGATGCTCCTTCCCCTCAAATGCAGCTTCCTATGCAGTTTTGTCCACAACCACACTGATACTGTAGAGGGGACAGCAAGGACTACAGAGATGTGTAGCTGGCCTGCCTTGTCCAGCTACACAGGTTTAAAAGCAGAGAGAAAGAATAAACAGCAGGAAAAAAAAAACCAAGCTACAAAAGCTGAAGTGCAGGAAGAGCTGAGTAGGCAGGGCAGCTGTTGCCATCTTCTAGAAATTACGGTTGGAAGACAGACACTAGAGCCATCCCTCTACTCATTTCTCCACAGAACGGAAATAGCTAGTTATGCTGGACAGCCTATGCTAACAGTCAGCCTGAAACAGAAGACATGTTCAGTATTGAGGGCTCACTATACTGCTATTTGGATGAAAAACACATTGTTACCTGGAACGCCTCTGGGACTCTGGTGTAAATGCAATATGTTTTTCTTCCCAAATGTCTTCTTCGTCAGAGCCACCATCATCAAACTGCTGTATCCGCTCCTTACAGCATGCCTCAAACAAGGCTATATTGCCCTAAATACAGCAAAAGTGTAAAATCTGTATTTATGATTAATCATTCTACTTACATTAGTAAACATTTTGGAAATATATGATTATTCTGTAGAGAATCTTAAACCAGTGGGGGAAAAAAAAATTCTCTAAAAGCAGCGGAAAACCAAAACATCTTAACAACTTAAAGCTTGTCAAGAAAATACTCAGTGGTGCTTCTTTTACTCAGATAGTAATAACCTGAGTGGATCATTAAAGAACAGCTAGGAGTTTCCATCGTGTTTAAGAACGGAATGCGGGAATGACACTGAAGAGCTTTTCAGATAACCAGACCATCAAGTACTGCAGCTTTATTTCCAGTAGTAGGGTTCATTTCAGCTCAACTGACAAATAATTGGGTTAACGTCTCTGTCCTTACTTTGCTGTCACCACAATCTCACTGGAAGACTGAAATACCTTCTACCCATAAAACACAAGTATGCAATATGCACAAATCGGACCCAAGCCTGTTCTTGAACCGTTGCCATAGAAGCAATTCTGTTTAATACTGATCACAAACAACAAGAATAGTGTCTTCCAATTAGAAAATCTCATTATATAGGAACAAGGTAGGGTAGTTATTTTCCAAAGATTACACATCAAAGGAGTAAATATAACAACCACCAATACTTTGAGGTCACACTGAAGTTTAAAAGACAGTAACTTTTCTGACAGTACAGGAAAACATACTTACACTTTCATTCGTATTGAGGGTAAAGTTGATGTCTGAGACCCGATCAAAAGAAACACTACAAAAAAAGCAGATGTATGCAATAAAACAAGATGTTGTATTATGACATGAAGACATTTAATTTCTTAGGTTTCTCATTTTCCAATAATCTAAAAATGTAAGATTAAAGACAATGTAGTTTCAAACATAGAAGTCAAATTCCACATTAAAGAGGCCTGACATTCATGTGATTTTTCTAACTGTGAAATATTTTAAACAAAAATACAAAACAATGTCATCTCTACCCTATAGTCTGCTGTGAAGATGCAACAAGCCTAAGCAAGCATAACTGAGTGATATACACAAATCTCAAATACTGTACTGTTATGCATTGGAAAAAAAGAATGCCTAATGGTCTACCATGATACAGCTCAAAATCCTGCAAAGATCTGCATTAGCAGTTCTTATACCTTCTAACTGATTTCACCACTCTGTAGAAGGACCTTCTCAACAGGAAGAGAGAAAGTGAAAGATGTAGTACCAACTTCTGTTTCCTAAAGAAAAAATGAATCTTTTTTTTTTTTTAAACCAATCACTTAAGTTTTTTTCCAAACTGAACACTAAATATTAGGTTTTACACATCTTCACATATTAAAACTATTGAGCAGTTTCACAAAAGTAATTACAAATATGTCAGACTAAAATAGCATTAAGCAAACTAAACCTCTAGGGGAAGACAAAAGAAACAGAGGAGGAAAAGATGGGAAATACTACCAGACTTGAAGAGTTAATATACTCTTTCTCTAGCCACATACAGCAGTGCATTCAGCACAGCACATACTACTCTTCCTCTAATCCTCATTGCATTACAAAGTAGGGAACAAGGTAAGTGGTCTAAAGGAACATAAGTTTTAAGTGTGACTGAATTACTGTGTAAGTTACCATCTGAATTACTGTACAACAGTAAGCAGGTAATTTAAACTGTAATAGATTCTTGCACAAAAGGCATAACTTTAAAGTAACTTTATCTACAGCTTAATTCAACTCATGAGTACATCATCAGTATACCTATCACAAATCTCAAGAGATCTGCTTACACAAGTAGTTATCTTCTTTCCACCAAAACCATACACTACCAAAGGCATGATCTTAAAGGAATTCCAACTCCTATCCTTGCCAAAATCCACTTGCTTCTAACAAAGTTAAAGAGTATCCTGAGTCGCTTCCTCTCCCATCATATCTTAATCTATAATCTCAGCAGATTATGTGGTGTAAAAAGGCAGTAATGCTTAGATGGCACATGCAAGCTTCAGTCAACCATCACTTACTAAACATCTTACAGAAGAGCACCGAGACATTCTATTGTATTTTACCCTTCCAGAAACCATCAAGTAATGCTTTTTACTCTTATCTGCATGTTCTTGCATCCCAAGCCATGAATTCTTACAAAAATCAAGATCAACTCTATTTTCAGCAAGAACCCCCATTCTTTTCCTTTCCCATTATGGCATCAGTTTACTTAGAACTGAAGAGAGAGATCAGTTTTTGTGGGGGGTGTTTTTGCTGTGTTTTTTTTTTTTTTTTTTTACCTGACCAAGATTATTCTCATATTCTCATCACCTACCCTATTTGTAAAAACAAGTCTTAACTCCCTTGACCTTGAAAACAAAGGTAGATTTACGATGCCCTTCCTTACTGTCCCCTACAGAAAAGTACACTCACAGATGTGTTGTTCCTGTCATCTTTTTCAGGAAAACTTAAAAGTAGAGCTATTCATCTGGTCTGATACATAAGATTCAGCACAGAAAAAAAATCACTTTGAGGCACAGAGAAAGTGAAAGTGCCCCCAACAATGCCATGTCATTGGACAGACATAGCTTTCAAAAGCAGAGTAATAATTTAGTTATTTATTCACAAGCAATGTGTTCTCATATTGGCACAACCAGGACATTAGAGATGGAAGATAAGCTGTTGCTTTCCTCTGTAAACTGTTCAGGGAGGTTTCTATCAATGCACACAGATGGTACAAAAAGACAGGACTGATTGGCAACTGCCTCACATCAGCAAAGGCTTGTATTTATCATCAGCAAAAACACAGCCAAATACACAATAAGAAAGGAAACTCCCAAGACTATAGTCAAAGCCAGTATAATGTTATACTCACTTGCCGATGTCATCTTGATCAGCAAACTTCTCATCGTTGAAGCCAAACTGGTCAATAAAATTGGACGTCATTTGTTGCATCTGATAATCAGAAAAGGCCTGGCAACCCCAGGACCAACGACAGTGATATAATGATTCTAATAATACTCTAAATCCTATTTGCCCATTTTGCTCCAAAGAAATAAGACACTCTAGTCCAAACATGAAGGACAGGAAAAGGATTTGTCTTAACCTTTGAATTTTAAATGGTAACACTGACTACACACCTACTTACATTTACTGACTTGAAAGACAGTCTAATAGCAGCTCTCAATAAGAAAGTTAAACCTCTAATTTAACCACGTTAATCAGCACCTTTCCAAATGCACCCCAAAGAAACAGTGAAACTACACAGTATACTAGATAAAAGAAAAAGCTCTCTTTGTTCAAAATAACATGAAGTTACAAATGGCAAGAACCAGAAGAGTACATTATACATAGATACTAAAGCACAGTTGCATATTTATCATGTAGTTATCACTAGAAATATCAGTCTCAGGCACACATACCAGCAGCATCTATTCAACATCTAGAAGAAGGAAACTACTGAACATTTTACATCTCAATGCAGTGCCACAGTGCTTTTTTTTAATTTAAATAAAGATGCCAGTGTCAACTGCCAGCAGATAGGTATATACACATTAAGGTACACATGGGCCTTTTCTCCTATCCATAACAATAGTTTTTGTCTCTTATTTCCCAGGACTATAATTAAATTATCACACATTCTCTAGGGACTTTTAATAGTGTTATTTCCATGTGTAAAGTCAGCCAATGCTAAGATATTCTAGGAAATACAGCTGTCACATCAACTCTTGGTTTCTTGCCCAGGTAGCTAAAGGGACACGGTATACAGACAAAACCTTTGAAGAAGGTGATAAAGCTGAAACAAAGTGAATATGGAAAGAAAACAAGAGAATGTTAAAAAAAAAGCAAGTTTGAATTAAGGCGTTATGAAAACTGGAGGAAAAAGAAAGGACATATAGAAGGATGAGGTATACAGCAAGACACCACATCGGGGCTGGGAGCGGGTCTGAAAAACCATCATGGCTGGTAGGGTCACTATGCTAAGCCAGGCCAAAGCAAGAACTCTTACATTTTGATCCTAAATTTTAAAGTCTGATAGTTAGTTCAGAAAAACTTCAGGATTTAATATTAACACAATTAGTAAATCAACATTACATAGGTAGACAATCAATTACTGACTCACCTCCCTATAAAATAATTACTCTGCTTTACACTGGTTACTGAGCTCTCCTTTCCTGTAAAGTATTTTCACTATTACAGATATTAAAAAGTGCATGTGACTGAAAAACATTAGTGAATTACCTCCATGGGAAGAAAAAAAACCACACCAAAGTAGTTAAACAGACTTGTTCTGTTTTATAAAAAGTGCAATCATTAAGAACACCACTCACCAGGATAAACAGAAAATTAAGACACAAGGTTTATGACATCAGCTAGTTATGAAACTAGTGTGAAATCTCATCACAACATCAAAATCGTCTACAACAAGTATATAAAATGCAGTTATAAACTGCTAGCATATCTCAGACCCTAGAGAGTTCTATCCCGTTCTCCAATCTATTTTCAGTATGCTCAAGAGATACAAAAAGTGGTATTAAGCTGGTGGAGAACAGAACAACAATGCTTTCCTGCAGTAGAAGTTTCCAGAGCCACAGCAAGACAGCACATTAAATACTGCTGGCACAAGAAAACTTACAATCCAGAACTAGGTGACGGAACACTTTTTAAAGAGATGTCAGTTTTGAAGTGTTTTTCAGAAACTTACATAAAAAGCATTTCTGAGAAAAAGGGGGAGGAAAAAAAAAGAAACCTTCCCTTCTGGAACAAAGGGTCTTCATTAGACGAAAACAGTATCGAACTAGATTTGGATGCCAGAAGAAAGAAGAAGTCATAGCAGATGTAATTCTGCACAGGCAGAAGTTAAATTTGACAAAAATAAACCAAATATGAATAGGTTCCTTAGTATTTTCCTCCCTTATCCAATTCTTAATGGGTCCACTTGAATTTTGGAAGTTTACCTCCTGTTTCTTCCTTTAACTATTGGTCTAGAATAGGGTATTCTAGCCGAAGCCAGACACCATTATGAATGGATTTGTGCAGCTGGAGGATGCTTTAAGTAATTTCAATTACTTAATTACTTCAATGAAGTAATTTCAATCCCATCAGTGATTTATCTTGCCTAGTGCCTCAGTATCTTTCCTCACAAGACCACTTTAGAAAGTATATTTCACTAGCATAGAAAAAAAAAATTAAGAAAATGGTGACAAACTTGAAAGAAACAGCACTGGACCATCTGCATTTCTCCAGATTAACTACCTGGAACTGCTGGGATTGCCTAGGCACAGCAGGTCACTAAGGGGATGCATGAAAAGCGCAGAGATATTTGAAGATCTTACTTTCTCACCAGAGCTGCTACAGATAGTGCCCAACTTATCAAGTTTGTATTCAGGTGCACCTTACATGCACAAAATCACTGAATCAGATAAAAATGCATCAGATTCTTAAAACTTGAGCCACCACCCACAATTCAAACTTAGATAAGCAAGTACTTATAAAAACTATAGAAGATGCATAAAGTACCAAAGCCAGTCTTAGACTAGGTAGCTACTACATATCTGTTAGTGTGAGCTGAAAGATTTTGGTTAATAACCCAGATAAGTAACATGTTCCGTATAAGGGATCTATTGGCAGTCTTGTGCCACATGGCTCCCACTCTTTCACCACCAGTGGAAGAATTGAAAGAGATGCATATTGCACATAGGACAGTACTATTACAGAAATGCTGTCATTCTTCATCAAAATGGCACCAATGTTCTCCATAATCACTCACCACAAAAATACTCTAATACCATAACCATATTAAACACTGTATCATTATCATTAGTCAGCTATGAAAGCATTAAAACTTCAAGGTGAGCATAGCTGTGACTTAAGCTTTCAGTCTGGTTGATCTGAAAACTCCCTAGGCATTCTCAAATTATTTTTTTTTATTAAACCAAATGATAAATAATTATCTTTGAAACACTCACCTATGACTTGTCAAAAGCATATACTGAATTTAGAAGTAAGTGATCAAGTTCATTGGAAATTTAGTTCAGGAAGATTTGGCTATGTAAGCTTGCCAGGTATCAAGGGTCTATAAAGTTAAAAACATTCGAGCTGCTAGATACAACCCGTCACAAGAGCATAGCTCTTCATTTATATTGTTGTGACAGCTGAGAGTTTGACATTTTGCCAAAAATTAAAAGCATATAACAACAAATAGCCAATCCTCCTTGTTTACTCATCAAAACAAGGGTCAACATTTTAATAAAAATCTATTAGCAAAACCAAAGAGACACCCATATTTGCTTTCATAGCAACTCACACTTGCCAGAGAACACAATTAGAAGCCACCATTTCAAACTTCTGCATCTAGTAAGGACTAAAGTTAACATAGAAACTGTGTTCAACTCAGCCAGACAGCTGGCATATAAAATGTGTTCTTAGGCATAATGAGTAGATATCTGCATACACAGCATGACCAAAGACTAAAGACTGGAAAGCACACCATATCGTGATTTGTGTTAAAAACCATACCTCTGGGTTTAATAAAACAGTGATAGAAACACAAGTTCTACTGCTTTTTTAAAATTTCTTATTTTTACAGAAAGAGAAACTTAGGCTGTTAAAAGAATTCAACTCACCTGCTGCAAAGAAGAATCCTGTGAGAAGCCAGTTTCTTTAAAGTCAATTTCATCATCACTGGAAGAATGAATGTGGCAGGTAGTAACCTATAAAAAGGAATTCAGTCATTTGCATAGTATATGACAGCCACTCAAGTATACTCACACTATCTGGCTGAATCTTCAGTTTCATATCAAAATAAGAAACTGAATCAGTTTTAAGTTTTCCCTAACTGCTATACCACATAATCAGTCCCTGAAATATTGCAATAGTGCTAACACATACATGAGTATTAGATATCCCAAAAAAGCCAAAGCTTTTGACTACTTCAGAATGACTATTAACATAGAAAAAGCCTACAGCTGACAGTTATCTAAAAATAAGACAAAACTTGCATCTTGTCTTTGTACTGCACGAAATATATTGAACAGCAAGTGAATTAGTAGTCACCAAAATACTAGATTATATAGAGATCCTCCTCCTTTCCTATATATAATATATAAAAATTAAAGCAAAACTGTCTTAGGTACCTACAGTATTTACAGAAAGACAAAAGAATTAAACTTCAGAAATTTGTAACCAATGTGTACTTGCAGAAACAAACATGGAGTTGTTGCCACAGCAACTGCTGTTTTAAACATGACCCTTGAAAGAAGAGGTTTTTTTATGATCTGACATAGAACTAGTGGGAATAGTTTGTTCAGTGACACTGCTATCTAAGCAACATATTCTTGGAAGTACTCATCTTCAATCAGAACAGCACTCCAAAAGTAATTTTAGCTGGGACAGCAATTAGCTAAAGTAACAGTAGTGACAGCTGACCCTTAAGGCATACTCTATGAAGGATCACTAGTATAAAGCAAATCTACAGATGACAAAATTTATACTGCGCTATAATATATTGCATTATTCTACACACCCCTAGAACTCCATGTTACAGATTCTCAAGTGAAGTCAGGTGGTTCATGGATTCTTTTTATTTTTTGAAGAAAATAAAGGTCTATACAAAAGGAGTACTGAAACACATACAAGGCTTCATAAAAGACAGACATCTTTCTATGCTGCCACAAATATCACAGGACAATGCTACAGTCAGGGCACATGTGCAAGAACTAAATGAAGGAAGTTGTTACCTGAAGTGTATTGTGCTTTTATGCTTTTTCCTCTGTTAGTGTAACACTTATTTAAAAAAAATAAAATTGGGAGTGCTTTATTCTTGCACATCCATCATTCAGCCCTGTACTTCAACTTGCATACTAGAAGTACCCTGACTTCAAGTTATGAATTTCTGAAGGAAACCTGACCTATCAACACTAAAACTGTCAATAAGTGGGAAGAATAGTAATGCACCAAATGACCTCTGGGCTTGTTGTGCCTGGAGAAGAACTGTTATATCAAATGACAGACCAAGCCCATTGAAGGTTAGTGTTCAGTGTATATTTATGAAAATATTCTTGCAAAGTCTGCACCCTTCAAGGTAATTATATGGCATTCCATACCACAACCTGACATGCCCTATATACTGCCCCCCCCTTATGCGGGCACATTTTGAGAGGACAAAAGTTAATATACCTACTCCTTCTACAACTGCAACTTGTTGGGGGAAAAGACACGCAAAACCAAGTAAGAAGTTGTTTATTTAGTTTTAGTTACTACTAATGAATGAGTTAATCCCCAGTAGAAATCCTGCCCTTACTGCTGTAACAGAAACAAGCTCGGAACTCTTAGCTAGACATAGTGTCTTCTCCCCCAAACTCTCCCTTTGGGAACCAACAGGACATAAGGCCTAAGATACTTCTCTTGTTTTCTGACAGCTGCTGTAGTTAAAGCATAAACCTGAAAGAAGAAACTAGCGTTACTCCACCCTAATAAATAAATGGCAAAATTATTCCAGGGAAGGGAGTGAGAATTACCACTGCAAATTCCAGCAATTAATTCTTTACTTAAGAAAGCTCCTCACTGTTCAGACCAGTCACTTTCTAACACACAGCACAGGCACTTTTCGCGAATAATTCATTCTAATGTGTGGCATTTTTTGCCTCATTTCCTGGTAATATTGAGAAGGATTTTCCTTAAGAGAAAGGAACTACATGGTGATTTTTAAGGCAACCATGAACAATTTGTCTTGTAGACTGTTATTTTTAGGCTTAGGAGAGGTATATTCTCCTCACCTAGTCTTTAAGTATACTTCATGAACATTCAATATCATGACTAATATTGGAAGGATGCCAAAGAGACACATCTGAAGTTACACAAAGTCTCTTGTACAAACCTATTATTACAAATTGTATAGCATTCTTCACTGTAGCAGCATCATTAGTGCACCTTGTTTATAGGGAAGATGAACAATTACTCCCCTTTTGTTTAATCTTCAGCTAGGTAAGTCTAAATAGGTAAGCTTAGTGAAGTACTGCCTACCTTCTACCAGAAGGACAATTAGCAGTGGAAAAACAGAAATAAACTTCCTGTAAAGTCTGTAAAGTGTTTTGGGGAAACTGAGATATATTAAAATTCATTAACTGGTCTGTTGACATTGGAAACAGCCTCTGCTTATTAAAGTCTCCAGGTGATTACTCTTAAACTGTACGTTTAACATGATTGCACAAAATCTCTTCATACTCCTACTTAAGTTTAGCTTTTTTCTAAAAGTCTAATCACTACTGCTGTGTGCAGAAGAAATGACAGGTGCACAACAAAAGTACACAAAGTTACTTGACTTAAGCAAGGTCAGTAACACATGCAGTGGGATGCAGGTAGCATTTTCCCACTAAACTTACACAGGCTTATTTACATACTGTAGATAAAGCAATTACGACCAGCTCCTGCAGTTTTAGTTTGTACTCTTCAAGCAGACAGGAGCTTTCAAGGACACTATCTTGAAGCTGTAAAGAAATCTCCCTTCCTGGTGATTGTCTGGGATGAGCTATACAAACGGAGCTACTGCAAGATTCCCATACAAAATATTAATGATGTAGCTTTAGTTGAAAAGTAAAGAATTATCAGTTCCATAGCTCAGCAACTAGATGTACTTGTGTCAACAAGTGGTGGTTGGGAAGACTGGTTGTGCTGCTGACAAAAAGCAACTGGGACCCAAGTAAACAGCAGCAGTTTTGATACCTTAGCCACCACTACTTACCAGGTCCACTGTATTCCTCTTGTTAGTTTCTCCTAAAGAACTTGTGCAGAATGTCTCCCATTGCTCCCTGACCTCCTCTGGAAGCTCTAGCATAGGAAACAGGAAAAAAAAAACAATTTGATACTATTGACAATGGAGCATCACTTAGTTTTTAATTGTTCTCTTCTGCTCTACCAGAAATACTGCAAAGAACATATACATCCTCCTAAATCCATAAAGATTACTCCACCTAGCAAAAAAGTCTGAATTAAGCAGGTCAGCACCTCTTTGCATTTATTTCAGGGAGCTTTGATACTGTTTGAAAAAAAGACAAGCGTATGTTTAAGGATGGCTGGTTTTAAATTGAATGGGTCAGAAATAATCAATATTTTCTTCTTTTATCCAATAGCTGCCTGTTAATTTAAGTTTATTTCCTCAATTTGATAATGAAAGTCACGAAGACAAACTTAAGACCATTAACATTACCTTTAATGAGCTGTTGGACTAGTGTACTGTTTGGCCCCTTATCTGTACTATGCACAATACAGTTTGCTATCCTTGTCAGATGACCCATATAGCCATGCCGTCTTCCTCCTTCAGCCCTGCAAGAGACAAAAGGAATTCAACTGCCCATGCTCACAGCAACTGTGCTACTATGTTCAGTTATAAAACACTCTACCAGAGTCAAGAAGTTCAACAAGACAAATAGCATAGGAGTTATTAAGCAGAAGAGCTGCATCATAAAACCAAAGGTTCACAAAAATACTCAAGAATTTAAGATACCAACTGGTTTGACTACACTGAGCCAGTTTAGAAGACTTAACAAGCATGTAAACTACCAAGAAGGAAGTGCAGAGTATCTCAACAGATTATTTCTGCTTTCACCTTTGTGTGTGTGTAGAAAAGTGTACAGCATTATCAAGACAAAGACAAAATTAACAACAGATCCACAGTTTTTAGGACATTTCTGTTGCCGAGAGTATTTTTCAATACCCCAATACACCGAACACTCTCTCAGAGCTTTGAGTCCATGACCAAAAGAGAAGAAATTCTTAATTTTAAGTGTGGTCTAGTATTGCAGAATTTCTTAACATTACATTTAGCATAGAGCTGGAATGGTATGACCAACTGAAATTTAAGTTAGGATCATTGCTTTCCTGAAGTTTAGGAATGACATTTAAGTGCATACCAAAGGTACGGTTACAACGCGGTTTGAATATTTTCTATGTGACAGAACTGCTTTGTAGAAACAGGAATTACCATTTTTTAGAGTAGTGCTCTGAATAGCTATGATCAGCTGGAACCGTTCCAGATCTGACTAAAGAGCTAAAGTGAGAGCTCTGACCTAGGCTGAATTTCTAGCATTTAGCTGCAAGCTAACCAGACATTTGCTGTGTCAGCTTTAAGGTTCTGCACTTTTTAAATGAAAAAGAAAGGAAAAAAAAAAAAAAAATCAAGACAGACCCACTCAATTGGCTAGACAAACCTTCCATGAACTTGACTGAAGTCTTTGTAAAGTGACATCAGTTCAGGAAGTAGCTTGTGTTATGCAAACACAAATCACATTACTTGATTTTCCACCATCATCTAACACATGAAGTAACTGAAATTATGTTATGTCAATGCAAGATGTCATGAATGAAACAGTATCACATTGTTTACAGGAAGAACTTGAGAGAGAGATTCCTGTCTTATTTCCTCACCTGCTTAGGTTACAACTACATTCAAAACAAGCAACACGTGATGATGGCAAAGGTTATCATTTCTAATACAGGATATGCTATAAACAGCGCTTGTATTTGACAAAGCGGACTGACTTGTCATTGCCTAGCCAAGAAGTCTAGAATATGATTGTTTAGCAAATGCTTATTAATCCCAGTGAATCAAACAGCTTTTTACTATGTCAGATTTTTACCAGCAGACAGCAGTCAGCCTCAAGCTTCTAGAGCTGCTCAAAATAACATTAAGTGACAGAATACAGAAGCATAAAAAAAAAAATCCATTTTCTGAAGCAGCTAAGCTAAAAGTACCTTTAGATTATCTTAAAGACTTATCTTTTATATTTGGAGTCATACCTGTACAAAATTGGATAGAGGGGTGAATTACTTACAGCAGTCTGCTCATTTCTCACAAACAAAAATCAATTCTTTCCAGACAAAAGCACAATCTGGGGTTTACAATAATATTTTCCACATTAGTATTTGCAAACATGAGACTAAATATTTAATTAATTCATCCATATGGTAAGTACTGGATCAAGAACATTCTTATCCAACCAAAGAAGAGTTTTAGGTTGCATCTATGGAAATAACTTGCCATACTTCTCTCCTGTGAGAGTCTAATTGCTGATAAAGTTTGTAGTTCTCTATAACCTCAGGAGAATACAATATAAAATAGAAGACATTTAGGAGAGCATGTTTTCTACAGTTAAATTAAGTCACATTCCCTTTCTTTGTGCCACCCTCTTTACCTACTTCAACGTCCTTATTTTCAGGTCAGTTACATTAGCCATACATTTACTATCTGATTCACATCAAATAGGAACAGGAATATTTTGGGGAGTAGAACTGTCTCAAATAATACACCAGCAAACCAGCAACACTATCCCAGTCAGCTAATTCAGTATTAGTTAGAGCTAACATTTACTGTACAGTATCTCCTGAACCAAACTTATGAGCCTTTAGAGAGCTGTTTTACCACCTCAGGTGAAGACTGACGTTTTTTTCTCCTGCTATGAATACAGTTTCAGACAGCATTAGCTACTTGAAACTTCCATCCTTTCACAAACACATACTTTTAGAAGGTAATCCATTGCTGAGGACTTGGCTTTTACTACTTAAGGAGTCTGTTGCTCCCCAATATGTAATATGCTTTGATGTGTTTATAAATAATTTGCAATTGCTTACTGGAGAAAATTATTTCCTGTCCTCTCAAAACTTACAGTATTGTGCTGGTTTTGGCTGGGATAGAGTTAATTTTCTTCATAGTAGCTAGTATGGGGCTGTGTTTTGGATTTGTGCTAAAAACAGTGTTGATAATACAGAGATGTTTTAGTTACTGCTAAGCAGTGCTTACACAGAGTCAAGGCCTTTTCTGTGTCTCACACCACCCCACCAGCGAGTAGGCTGTGGGTGCACAAAAAGCTGGGAGGGGACACAGCTGAGCCCAACCACTAAAGGGATATCCCATACCATATGACGTCATGCTCAGCATATAAAGCTGGGGGAAGAAGGAGGAAGGGAGGGACATTCACAGTTATGGTGTTTGTTTTCCCAAGTAACCGCCACACATGATGGAGCCCTGCTTTCCTGGGGATGGCTGAACGCCTGCCTGCTGATGGGAAGCAGTGAATGAATACCTTGTTTTGCTTTCCTTGCATGCACGACTTTTGCTTTACCTATTAAACTGTCTTTATCTCAAGCCATGAGTTTTCTCATTTTTACTCTTCCAATTCTCTACCCCATCCCACTGAGAGGGAGTGAGTGGCTGTGTGGTGCTTAGTTGCCAGCTGGGGTTAAACCACAAGAGGTATGTTTCTGTACTTGAAGATGGGTAGACTTTAAAGATCATAGTAGTATCTTATACATGGCAAGAATGACAAGCTATTGTATTCTCAAATGGCCATGGGAAAAAGCATTAGAATGCTACCAAGAAGTAGTATGAAAGAAACCTTTAATTCAAATATTAACATACAAGTGTTTTTAGAACTGGCCAGATCAGTTATGAATTGTTCATACATTCATTTCACAATTCAAGTCTTACATAGACAATTGCAGTGAATGAGAAAACTAGTTACTCACTGTTTCTTCTCATTCATCTCCCATGCTTCAAGTATTCGTTCTATTAATTGGCACTTAAGGAAGAGCTATCAAAAAAGCAAAATATGCTTAGTAACAGTAAGGTGGAACACTATTATGCATTTTACAGTTGATTTCAACAACTACTGAAGTCTTACAAGACAACTAATTTCATGTTCAGGATAAATACTTTCATTAAAGCATTTAAAGTTCAGAAGCAGCAGTCAGATCCCAACCACAAACCTAAAAGCTAAACCTACATTAATTCTACTTCTCCTTACAGCTGCGCTGAGTTGTAGCAGCATAAAGCTATTGAAACAGCAATTTTAATTCTTAAAAGTAAGAGGAACTTCTCCTTCAAGGAAAATAAATACTTGCAGCTCTGCACACATGCTCACTTTGGGGCAGCAAAAATCTACTCTATGGCACTTTCAGGTTTAACACCCTGAACTGACATTTTAAGGAAAAATAGAAAAATATTCCTGTTCATTCTATACATAAAGTAAAATTAGGGTATTTATGTAAGAGTAACTGCTACAATAGCCTGGAGACAGGAAAATTCAAGAAATTACCAAAAAACCACAACTTACATGTTTCAGTAAGAGATTGTCCCCAGTGGAATCCTGATCTGTAATTGTGCCATTTTCTGTGCTTTCAAGAGGACTTGCAAGAATCAGTGCAATACAGATTTCTACTTGGGTATGCAAAAAGTTATTCCATGTATACTTAAAGAACATGTCCTGAAAAACAAATTCAACAAAGTTTACACAAACCAAGGTCTTTTCATTAAACGTAACAAATAGTCTCACCCCAGCAAGTCATTTGAATGACTACACTGGAACAAATACTTTAAGTTTTACAGTAAATATTATTGTGCAAGAGAAAATTTGTGGCCTACAGAAAAGTTAATTCTTATGCTTGCTATTATCTGAACACAAGGACTATCATACTGGATCAGAACAAAAACTCAACTGTAACTGGATTTGTCCCAGGGGTAACCAATAACACGCATTCAGAGAACAAAGACATGGAGGAACGACACTCCCCACTTACATTCTTTCTGCTAGCTGCAGCCCAGAGAGTCCCAGAGTCAGAAGTGTTATTTATGACCTTAGTAGCCCTTGACAGATTTCTCTCACTTAACCTTCTGGCATCTACAATACTGTTTATAATGTGCTCCTCACTTCAGTGAGATTCCTTACAAAATCATATCTAGCTGGTTTTGGACCTGTCATCTAATTTTATTCTTCTATTACAGAAGGCTACCTCAGATAATCTAGATGCAGTTTAAGATTATTAAACACCTTACGCAAGACACAGACAAATACTGAGGTAGATATTCAATAAAGTGTTCATTTAGTCATGTTCCTGGTTCTCCGCATTTTTCCTCTTAAACATAGGAAAGACTTTTTAAAGCTTTATGTCCAGTTATTTTAGACTACTTCTTACTGCAAAGCTGAAATGACTGCTGTCACTGGTAAAATGAAATTAGTTATGGAAATATGTGCAGTGATTGGAACAGTGTTAAACAATTTAAGTCTCATTCAAAATACAGCTGAAGATCTCAGATTTTCCTTCAGTCCTCCTAAACTAATGACATCCTCCCATAGAGATATGCTATTGGAACTAGACAATTACTTTTCCTAACAGTCAAGTCTGCACAGTAAAGCATGTACTGTTTCAGCAAACAGCATGAAGCACCAAGAAGTTTATATGGCTATAATTACTTTTTTTCCTTATGTAAAACCTGCAACAGAAAAGCATGTTCAAACCTCACTGAATTTAGTTTACAAAATAATCTACTTATAAGAACATGCAAGTGTTCATAGCATGTACGTTCCCTTAGACAATGTCTAAGAAAAACTTCAGTTACGGTGAAGTTAGCTATTTGTATACAAGTTAGCACCTGTCTGCAAACCCAAACTGCGCAGAGAAATTGAGATTAAGACATTACAACCATAGCTGTATGTATTAATTGAAGGAAAAAGGGATTTTAGACTAGAACAATTTGAGGCAGAGAAGATATTTACACTTTACATTTGCAACTGCCTGCTTAGAAGCAGAAGTTCACATACTGTATTCAGAAACTGTACTATAAGTTCTAGCATGTTTTGCTAGTTACTAACTGATACCAACATTTGAATTTTTTGGTCAACCTAAACACAAAGAATATGTCCTGCTATAGTTGGAATTATGAGGTAGGAAGTACCAAAAGTACACATTCCGCATTAGCAAAAAGCAGTGAGTTAACTGACTGAAAGTTTGTTGTGCAACATCTTGCTTTCAGAGGTTTGAAGGCGCATGAGCTACCAAGAAAAACAAATAAGCTTGTTAAGAAAACCACTTCATATATTTATGAAGGTGTAGATAATAAGAACCATTCAAGTGATCAGAGGAAAATGCTGACTTCAGACAGAAGAATTTAACAGTAAAATCCAATATTAAGAGTTCTTAAACGGTGCAGTAGAAGCCACAACACAAACAGGCTGAAAATTTAGGTTGGAAAATATACTACAAATTATCTGCAGCAACAGCAAAAACAAACAAGATCTTAATACCAATCCATAAAAACAAAGAAGGCAGCATAAAGTTCTTACCAGTATTACTCCTATGCTGTTAAGCTCTATAAGCTCCCGATTCACACTGCTTGTATTTGTCTGTAAAAGGCTAGATATTAATCTAATCACATTTAAACGTGTGTTTCCCACAGGTGGATCCAATACACCCCAGGTTGTCTTCATAACACTTTTCTGAAAAAGAAAAAGGTACATATATAAAACCCATTAAAATATCTTTAAAAAAACAGCTCATCATTACTATGCACAATGACAGAGTAGTGCTTAAAAATATATACAATCAGTCTTTGAGCAACAGTCTTACCTTCACCCTGCAAAAAAACAATTTTTAGTTCTCAACACTAGAGCTTATTTTAACTCCATAGACAGGAAGCACTAAGAACAGCCACATGAAACCAATGATGTTGTAAAAACTGATTGTTAGCTACAGACAGAATCTCAAAGCAGAGGCATTCTATCCAACCTTGAAAGGAATTAGGACATAATTCCTAGGAAACACTTCTCACTGGTCAATCCATGTATAGCTATAGTCTACATTGCTACAATATACACAAGACAGCTAGGTGGACAGTCTCTAAATGTATTATAATGCCTCAACAACCCTAACTTCATATACTTGAAAAAACAATTTCATTAAGCAACAAGCTTCTCTGGTGTCTTATTCTAACGTTATACACAAAACATGCTCCATCTGTAGTCTTTGAAGGAGTTACTTCCAACAAAGCAAGAATCTCTTTCCATGCTCTAATGGGTCCTTGTATTACAATCATAAGCTTTGTGATTCTTACATTGAAATTTTACCTGGTTAACAAACCAGAACTGTTCTCACATAACTAAGTGCCAATAAGAAAAATCTAGTATTAGCTACCATAAGAGATAAAAATCTAGTAGCAAATATGCAATGAGCAGGGGAATTCATAAAGAAAATGTCTTCCTATCTTAAGGCACAAACACATTTTGACAAGGAGACCACTACTGCCTTCTGTAACACTGGATGTCATTTTTGCCTGACCAGCGCCACCCTTGCATCAGAAAAAAGGATGACTGACATCCTGCTAGTTCATAGAATCATAGGATAGTTGGGGTTGGAAGGGACCTCTAAAAGTCATCTAGTCCAACCCCTGTGCCGTGGGCAGGGACATCTTCAACTAGATCAGGTTGCTCAGAGCCCCGTTCAACCTGACCTTGAATGTTTCATTTAGTCCATTCCTTACATAAGGCAAAAAACTAAGGATGCTCATTTAACTAGTGCTCAAAATGAGCAACAGATTCAATAACTTCACTAGATGACTTATTCAAATGCTAAGTATGCCCAACCATCAAAAAATACTCAAGTATCTTATGTGACCCTGCTTTTACTGTAATATAGACCTGTATCTTGCCATGTTGTTGCAATAAAGAGAAGACAGTTTCTTTGCATTTTATTACCTCTTCTGCATTTGGAAATCTTGAGGTCTCATCTTCTCCAGGCTAAAATAAACTTTAACACTACCTTGACACCCCATCTGATATTTTTATACACCTCTGGTCTTTATTTTCACTTTGGCCCACAAGTCCTTCTCTCTTATGGACTATGGCACCCAGTTCAGGGTGCAGTGCTCCAGCTGAAATTCTGCCAGTGAAAATTTGAGTGGAAAAATAAATAAGTCATAGGCAAACCCCTCATTTATACATCTTGTATTTATCTTTCACAACAGCATGACATAAGATAAGTTGCTGAAATCAGTTTAGAAGCCCAAAGAATTTAACATGCCTAGAGTGCAGGGTACATGCCATGGAGCTGGTCTACTTGGGTCCTGGGCAAGTCTAGAGGAATTTTGCAGGCCTCATGTGGGCCATGCCAAAGTTCCAAACAACTGAAGCATCCATAGTCCATGTTTCCTATCCAGATAGGATTTCCAAGCAGAAAACAGGATGCACCTTAAGAATATATAGCAAATCTCTTTTCATTGCTTTCAGAAAGTAGCAATTGCTTCAAGGTTATTCTGCCAATTAAACAAAGTTTAAGCTCAAAAAGCATATCAATTAGCACAACACATTGGCTCAGGGACAACAATAATGAACAGCCAAGCTCACAACAGGCTGGGAAAGAGCCTGGGCACTTGCCTGAAAATTGTAAAACTATGTTTTGTTTGTTATTATAACCTGCCTAAAATACAGTCACACAGTGAGAGTCTTATTTCAATTAATTTCATAACACAAGGTTTCACTTACTTTTGGAGGCTCAAGTAGGAGTTCATGGAAGGATGAAAGTCGTGCTTTTATGGCTTCTAAAACACTTTTGTTGACTGAGTATGTTGAATTGCTCATGCCTGGAGGACAGATTTCTATATGGCCTTCAAATCTAAAACACACACAAGCAAAATCTGATAATTAATATCAAAACTAGTTGTAAAACATCTTTAAGGTATGATTTTTGAGTGTCACAGTTCTGAAGGCATGTGAAAAGAATGAAGAGGCAAGTAAAAACATAAGGTTACAAATACAAATTAAGTGTGAAGCAGTGGTTGAACAAGATTTTTCCCAAACACTAGCCCTAGTATTTTTAGGTTTATTGTGCTTGAAATCTCCAACATCGTTTTGAGATTAAACACTGCAGCTGTTCTATTTCCTCTTTTGAGGCAGATAAAGAGCTTCAACTCATCTATCCTGAACAACAAACAAGTTGAATGTACCACAGAAATCTGTTCAGCGGTTTCTCAAAGTGAAGTTGTAATAAAATTCCAAATAACTTTTTAAAAAGTCAAAACCACTCACTGCACTGTACATAATTACTCTATTCCTTGTATCCAGAAACAAATTGATGAAATATAATTAGTCTGATCTATCAAGTGGCACTTAAACTAGCTTCTAGAAAAAACTGCTGAAAGACCAGTCATTTGGTCAAAGTGTAGTAATGCCAACTGCAATCACTTGGTTTGCTCTTTTACTTCTTCAGCTACAGACCACAAAAATGGTTCAGTCATAAGTACACGGAAGACACTTGCTACTGCTTAACAGCAGTTTAGTTAAATTATGCAGGCATAATTTAAGCAAAATAAGAACACTTACGTCTGTCGTCTTGTCTCAAGTAAGGTCAATAGTATTTGGATTGCACTGACTATTGCAGATTCATTTTTTTCTTTATGAAAAATATTAGACAGCAGCTGCTCTATGATTTCTTGTCTGAAGAGAAAAGCATTAGCATCAGATATAACACTACTTCAGGATAGAGCTGTTAACAGAAGTAGCTACTGTTTGCCCATGTAAAATTAATAAGGGGATAATACAAAGAAAACTAGTAGCTATTTGAAGCTAGCAGGTACCACTAGGACAATCATTCCCACACACGCTGCCCCGATCATATTTTCTTATTCCTTCCATTGATCTAGTTTTTTGATCTGACAACCAACACTATAAAAGTGAGTTTTCAGTCAGATCAAAAACCTGATTCAGCTTGTCATAACAGCCACACAAACCTAAAAACCTAGAACCAGGAAGAATGGAATACAGGAGAATCTTCTCCGGCAGAAACACACACTTAGATTAACTTAAAACAAATAACAGATCAAAGACAAAGTCTCCCATGTTTACTCTGCACATATCAAGCTGACCTCCACATGTCTGACCCCACTAACTCTGGCAGCACAGGAAATACTTTAACAGAGATAGCCCCCCCTCAAGGAAGTCCTCCAGGTGGGCTCTGCTTACTCGCTGAGTTATTTTAAATTATACAGACAGATGACAAGTAGCTAAGAAAAGCAGAGCTTGCCATTTCTAAAGGTTTTCAAGGTCAAAAGTTAAAAACTATGTTTTTTATGAACTGAAAATAAAATCAGAAATTCAGCAAGCCAACCTACTTCTCTAGACTTGCAAGCAGTGGATCTGGTTCTGTACTGTTCTGTACTTGTAACATCTGGTCTCTGCTTAGACGAATAATTTCACAGAGTGACTGGGATGCATTTGAATGCCTCTGGAACAGAAAAACCATAGCTTTTCACTGTAAGAGTAATAACATGCTGGACTGTAATTCTTCAAATAAAAAAGGTGAAAGTTTCAACTTGGACAAGAGTTTCTCCTACCCAAAAACCATCTGGGGCAAAGGGAGGTGAAGGGGAGAAAAAACCCACACCCTGCCCCCCTCAAATGAAATCACCTTACTGAAAAAAGCAAACAGAAAACAGTAAAACTAAAAAATTCTAACACTATGTTGTACAGCAACTTGCTGAACAGATAGACCCAGAAGAGTGTCATACTAATACTTACATCTTCATCTTGAGATGGATGTACAATTTCCACAAGCCGCTGGATAATTCTCTCCTCATTTAGCCACTGTAAAAGTGTTTGTAGGTGTTAGTAACAATGTTATCCAAGTGAATGAATCAAATGAATTAAAATTAATGAAATTAAAAGTCATTTGACAATTGCCATGACTCATACTGTCGCTATTTCTAAACAAGGACTAACAATACTTCAGAAAAAAGGAAAAAAGTAAAAAAAGTAAAATCAATGTTTCTGAGCAACTGTAAAGAAGAAAGCCTTACGTATGATTTTAAAAATAACTTTCTGATGCCAAAAAAGTGTTCAGTAAGGTCCAAAACATTTTTAAAAATGCATCTAGCAGTTTTAAGTTAGATATTAAAGACCAGGGGAAGAGACCAGCCACTCAGCTTCTAAGTTGTCCCCACCAGTGCTGTGGCTCCACTGGAAGAGTACTGGCAGCTCCAAGCAAAAAAAAAACAAACCCCACACATCTAATTTCAGCACATTTAAGAAATAAACTTAGCAAAAACCAGCAGAAGATAAGCCATCTTACAGTTCACAGGTCAGACAAAAATCCTTTGAGACATTTTACTTACACTTAACACTTCTTGCCGGGGCTGTGGTGGTTCTATGCAAGTCAGTAGCCTGAGCAACAAGTCCATGATAGCAGAGGTCCCGATGTGCTTAATAATGAGGTCTACAAAATCATGTTTCCTCTTTAAAAAATCCACAATCTAGAAATTAAAAAGCAGCTTACATTTGCTTATCTGTATTTTACATGGTAAATTATACCAACCAGTTTTAGTTTCTCTCTCCTACCAAATGGAGAAAATAAATGAGAACTTCTTAAACACTTTTGCCACTTAAAGCTTCCAGTACAAGGCAAGATAAAATAATACATGCGTATAGAGTAGCAAAAGTGGCACAGGACAGATCTATACTATGTGCAGTGTGTCTTGGGCTTCCTCTCAAGCCCAACTTGCTGACCATAAACTACTTATAATCCAATGCACAGTCAACCTTCCTTTTTGGTATGAATTGTTCTCATCCCTGCTTAGTGAGCAAAGCTCGACACAGCAAAACCTTAACATAATACAAACACAGAGCTTGCTAAATTAAAGATACAGAACAGAGTCACAAACTTAATTTGCTCAGGCACAAGAGCCAGTCATTACAGCTGTTTGCAGTACTGGGCCTCATGAACACATAGCATGACAAGGACTCCAAATGTCTCTTACCTTGTTCTATAATAATTCTTCACACCAAATCAGACCCACTCCCACTGATTCAATTCACTTACCTTCACCTCTAACAGCAATTAATGCAAATATCACCATATAAAATACTGAGCTACGCTAAAAGGTAAGCACTCACACACTGCACAAATAGCTCACGCAAATCTGAATCAAATACATCTTTACTCATCTATATTTACAGATATATAAATATATATCTCTATATTTACAGATATATTTTTTAATCCTGTGCATACCATAAAAAGTTGGTGTCTTCAGTTAGTATAGAAGTTGAATGCTCTTTTTTGACTCTGCTGCTATCCCTCAAATGTGTAGTCTTAAAGCAGCATTGCTGAGTACTACAACTTTATTAGAGCACCTGTTAAACTGGAGAGCTTGTAAATATTTACCTGTTCTGGTTTTCTGCTTATAAGAATACTTAGCACCTTGCTGAAGAAACTGGCTAGTAAAGGGTTTAGAGGAGATTCATTTAAGAGGAAGCTGTACAGTTTCATAAGTAAGGATTCTTCTTCTCCCAGCCTATCATTGATCTGCGAGATATCTGACGTAAGCAGCTCACACGATATGTTTGGATATCTGGGGAAAAGGAAAGAAACAATCTCTCATACTTCAATGTTGTCATACTTCCAGCTCTGAATTCAGAACCTAGTAAGCTTCTTACCAAGTTTTCAAGCAGGGTTGGTCTGCCCTAATTAAAGCAGCAAACTACTGCAAGGTAACATAACTGCACATTCAGCCTACAAGCTCTGTTCTTTCATTTAAGAAATGGACTACTCTGCTCTTCAGCAGCAATAGGACAACACTAGGGAAGTGGGGAAAGGAAAGGGCAAACTTTTATTTTAAGATCTATTGTTAAATCCATCTGTTCTATCATTAAATCCACCTGTTCAAGTACTGATCTCATTTCAGAAGCCACTTCTTTTTTTGAAGGGAAAAAAGTTAGTTACCAAGAAGTTAAGCAGACTGATGGTACTGGACTGATACTGAGGAGGGAGCAGTGTTTGCCCCTCCTAATATACCAGGGATTATATTAAAAAGCTCAAAAAGAATAGCTTCAGGATTTTATAATATATATATTGCAATTATGTAGAAATTTAGTAAACTAGTCAAAGTCTGACAAAGTCTGCAAAACCAGCTAGTACTGCTTCACGACAGTCAGAAGTACAGTTCAGAACACTGAGTAATTAAACTAAGAGGCCATCAAGACCAGTAATTTCCTGTATTTGACAGTACTATCACCCACTCATACTAAAGGTAATTTTGACAGCATCAGCAGCTTAAGGTTTCTAAGTGAAAGATGCTTCAATTTCAAACTCTACCAGAAACACTTACAGGAGGCTTGGTTTACCAGAAATGGTGAAGTGCTGCAACTAACAGTGTAGCTTATTTCACATTGTTTTTTTACATATTGTTTTAAGAAAAAAGCAGCTTTCTGCATAGACAACTCTAAAATAGGCCAAAAATGGTAGAAGTGCTTTTATGCGAATTGCTAAGTTGACTTTTGAGTTTGAACCTTCTCAGCAAACTAGCTGAAGTCACGGCCATACCCAATTCTTACAGTTCTAGCTCTGCAAAGGAGACATTAAGTACCTTCTTCCAAGGAGTGCTATAGACCTTCTAATAAGCATCTTCAAAACATCTTATCAACCATCGATAAGACAAAACTAAGCACTTAAAACCCTATTTGGGTAGTATAGTTTCATTCAACTATTTTCTTAGTAATCACAACTACAAGATTCTTCATGTGAGTTCTGATTATTTGTTTTCATAAGCCTCCTTTGGACAGCAATTGGTTTTGGAAGCATTTGTGGATTAGAGGCTTCCATTTGAAAGATAAGCAAATATTAGAATGATTTATTTAAAAGTTCTACAAAGCCCCTGGAAAACAAACTTACTCTAAAGATACCAGTATTGTACTACACACCAGCATGCAGGGATTCAAAACACACTATCAAATTAACTAAAGTTACCCCTCTTTCCACCTTCCCAAGTCTCCCCCACCCCCAAAAGTTTTCCTACTTATATCGAATTTTTTCATCCATGTCTTGAGGTGGCTCTTCGATAATAAATGAAACTAAGTCTTCCAAACATTCTGACTTCAGCAGAAACTCTATAAGTTTGCGATTCTGAGCCTTGCACTCTTGCAGAACATCCTCTTCATCCATCAGTTCTTTCAGTGTTACATCTTCTCTCTCTAGAAGTGTATCTATGTGGGATGACGAATGGAGATCAAATTTCCAAAACATGCTGGTCTGGATAAGAAGAATATACACAAAGCATTAAGTTTACAAATCTATTTAAGCAGTATTTGTAGTAACACTTCACAGTAGTATATCATAGCTTCTAACGCCAAAGGTACCTGCATGCATAGAAACTTTCTAGAACTCAAATGAGACACAACAGTAGATGTTGACAATCAAAAGCTACAAAATTCAGGCTTGATTAAAGTGACTGAATACATGGTAGTAATTTTTGTACCTGTAGCAACAGCCAACATTTTAACATCCAAAGATAAAGTTAAGCAGCTCCAGGGTTCTACTAACATGAAAGGAACATGCTAATCTGCATTAAAGAAAAAAGGATAACTTCTGTTTTCAATTTATTGAATTTGCTCTTCACAACCTTTGTTTTTAATCTATGCACCCAGTCTCAGATTCAGAACAACTTGCTCAGCAATTAATAGAGCTGAGAGAAGATAAAATGGGCCTGCATAAATGCACTAGAGTAACACCCTTACCGTTGAAAACACCTATAAAGGTGGAAGAATTATAATAATTTTAATTTGCAGGCAGGACACATCAAATTGCTGGAGCTAATTTCAACACAGGACCTACTCTCTCACTGTACAAACTTGACACAGGAGGAAGAACAAGGGACAATAAAATATCTTATGCAAACACATGAAAAGGCAGTGGCCCCAACCACTGAAACATTGTAAAAGGCTGTAACAGAGATGTATAAGGATGAGCAACTTAACCTTTCCTTATAAAATTCTTTAGCACCACCATGTTAATTCTGTTGCTGTAAGACACCTTGCAAACAGTTGCTACTGAGACAACTGTGCTATCAGAAAAGACTATTTCAGTCTACGATAAATCCAATAAGCTCCTGCTTTCACCTCTTATTAAGCTCAATACAAGCATTCGCTCCATTCCCCCTTCTCCAAACTGGGCTTTTACATGACATTTAACATCTGACACAGTATCAGCTGGTCTTATGCAAATGCAGAATTTAAGTAGATTGAAAGAGATACTACAGATACTAGAGAACAGTAAGAGGAGCCTTCCTTACAATTGGAAGCAGCATGGTTTTGAGCAGTACCCATTTAAATAAGGAAAGAAACACTCCTTTAGTAACTGCCTTCCAAATGTCAAGGATTAATTCAATATGTTACTGTGCATTAGCGACATCATCAGTTGTGAGGACATGTAGTTACTGCATAGAATGTAGGTGAATAGTACTATTTTAGTGAGAACACTTCTGTAGGCTGGAGGCTGCATGCAGGAGCAAGCTTAAAGACAATAATCAAACTATGCTTGTCATACACATAAAAACTACGAAAACTAAAACAGAAATATCTAATTCTTATGCAAACTAAGAGGTAGACAGCTTTAAGCATTTATTTCCAAGCTAAAAAGGATTCAGCATGCAAACTACAGCTATTTCGAACAGTGAAGTGTCAAATTTAGTACTTGAGCAGTTTAGAAAACAGATACAAGTCCAAGAATCCAGCAAAACCCTTATGACTCTTCATTAGCAAGACTTCCAGTATTTGGCCTAAATATTGAAAAGTCTGGTATACTCACTATGGAGAAGTTTTAATTGCTTTTAGGGTTTTCGTTGTTTCTTTAACCATTAAACACCGATCACTTAATACCACCTTACTTTGCTTAACCTTTTGTCAGAAGTTGTAAGCATACATAGCTGCCCCTACATTACATAGCTTTCTGTTTAAAGATATGTGAGTCAAACAAAATAAAACAGGAAAAGGTACAGATAATTTCAATTGCAGTATCAGTACTTATAATCATCTGAGATCCCATGCAAGGATTAAGTGGTTAAAAAACAGAAAAAAAAAATCTTTTCTACCGAAAGTATTAGTAAACTTACAAGCAGGGTTCAAAACACCTGATCTCACAAATTAGTTTAAATCAAATTATACAAAGTTGATATTAAAAACACTAGCTTGTGGGTATTCAGGCTACACACAGACTTACTGTAAGCAAGTGAAACTAGTGCACTATTAAAGTCACAGGATGTTTTTTGTTTGTTTGTTTTAAGCCTCCAGAAAGTAGATCAAATCCCTCCCCTTGCCCCAATTACGGAAGTAGCATCTTTGCAAGTAACCACTATCAATGCTAATTCCAGATGTAAATCCCTCCGCAATTCAGTAGCTTCAATTTATTTCTCGGTTACTTATTTCAAGAGAAATTCAACAACGGAAAATAGCAACAACAAAAAAGAGGCATACTACTGCAAACATGTTACTGCGTTATTTCACAAACTGTCTCCCAGGCAAGCTCTTTTAGGGGGTGCTCCCTCAACATGTCAGGTGCCGGCCAGAGATTATTCCATCACTTTTCAACAGGAGCCCAGGTCCTTTGAAATAAGGAAAAATAAACAACATAAAATTTGCCAAAGAGGAAGTCCAGGAACCCTGAAGAAAGAGAATTTTCTTAGGCATTATCACTGACTATAGAATCAGCCTACCATAGTTCTGAATGGAAGTTTTAAAAACAAAAGTTATTGTTATTCTTGCCAGAGCCTACTGTTCTACCCTCCCTCTCAAAACCTACCAATTCTGAAATTTTGAATTATCTTCATGCTTTATTAATGGGACTGAAATTTGAAAGTGTCAGAATTAGGCCTTATGTCCACAAATCAGGAGTGCTCCTCGCAAAATTTCACTATCTGCAAATTTATGATGAACTCCACAAGTCAATTGGGTTGTGTTACTCCCAATGTTCAACTCCATTGCCAATAAGAGCAGAAAAATCACAACATGTGGGTTCAATGCAAGATGCAAAAGACTGCCAAATACAAGACGTGCTCAAGATTAGATACTGCAAGCAGCAAAATAATCCAGGATAATACAAAAAACTCTCAGGTGCGGAAAGAAAAATTGTGTTAAAGATGCTAAAGCTGCTGCAGATATTTGACTGTCTTTTGTAACTTGAGTTAGCTTTCCATAATCTCTGAAAGTTCCCATCAAGCAAGACTAACAGACTTCTAATTCATATAAACAGTACTTCTGAAAGCTTACATCAACTTGCTGATGTACAAGTTATGACAATTCAAGATCCTAAGGAACACCTAGCATTCAGAAAAATATTGCTTTGTTTTCTTAGTTAATATTGTTAACAGATTTTTCTCTGAATAAATGCTGAAATAGCATTCCATGTAGCAAACACCTGACTTAAATCTGAAACAAAGAAAGCAGTTCACCAAAATGAAGAAAACCTGTCAACTGCTCTGAGATACAGGTAAGTGAAATTCCACTTGAATTGTTTGCTAAAGGGAAGAAATAAAGCTTAGACATGATCCTTTCAGACCAGAAAAAAATTGAAGTCTTCTGCCTACTACAGCTGAAGAAAATCACACTATGTTACCACACATGACACAAAGTAATGATGAAGATAAATTCTTATGCTTTATCATTAAGAGAATTTACCAACATTTAAGACCTTTAAATGCATTAAGTGATTTCTTTAAAATGCTAAGCATGCCCTTCTGCCAGCTTCACATAACCTCAACCAGTTAGTCCCTAGGTATATATAATTAGTTTCCAATTTTGTTTTTTTTTTTCCTTTCTGCAAATGATGGACAGTAATTAGACACCATATTAGCATTTATAAAGTGCTTATTTTGACACTGGAAATGGACCATCTGTTCAAAACAAAGCTAAGCACCAGTGCATGTCTGAAAAAATTTTAGAGCTAAACAGAATTACCAGTCACCCAAATTGACAGAGAAGACACTCTAGTGACTACTTTTTAAACTGCCTATTTCACTCAGCTAGAGCATCATCCATTGTAATCCTGCTGTCTACAACTGCCTGTCCTTTGCTGGCTGCGGCACAATTCCTCAAAGCATTAAATATCCCAAGACCTATTAAATGGGAAAATTAAGCACTTATGCATTTAGTCTGGAATCAAGGGCAATTTGAACAAAATAATATGAAAAAATAAGACACCTGCATTCTAGCTTGAAGATCTGAACCAAAACAGTTCTTTTCCATAAAGCAATGGTAATTTGTAGCAATACACAGTTATGCTGTAACTGAATTCCCCACTTTTTCCACTTGATGAATGCAAGAAAGAATCTTTCACATACAGAAACATACTTACATTGCCTCTTCTGCATTGAGAGTTCAGGGGAAAAATAAGGAATTCTTTATCTTCTATCCCATTAAAATAGTATGGTTTTTAAGTAGTGTAAAACCTCTGCTCTTAATTATTCCATAGTTTTATTTCTAAATACTTCAAATAATACAATAGAGACCATACTTACCCAATAATCTATTTGAAAATAAACTTATTTTCCATTAAAGCAGTGAGGTTCGTTGTGTTATTAGCTAGAAAGATAAAAGTTACTGTTTCAAGTCCCTAGATTTAACTATGTTACTTTACATTACATCCAGCAATCACAAATTAAAAAAAGCAGTAATACAGGAGAGTTTTCATGGTACGGTTTCTACATTTCTTAAACAAAATGTAGATCAATATGTCATAGAATAAAAATCTCATGTGAACACAAAGTAAGATGTAGAAGTCTCTTCAGTGTCAGAACAGCCTGTTCAGGCCACGAATGTGAGCCCTAATGGAAATTCATTTTTGAGAAATACTCCATTACTTACACTAACCTTAATTAGATTTTTATGATTATAAGCTAGTGAAGTTTCTTTGAAACTTTGTGGAGGAGGGAGCAAATAGATGGTTTGAAATTAAAAGGAATGAAATAGAACACAAAATACAAACACCTTTACCTCAACAATTCAATACATACTGCACCCGTATTTCAAATACTCTGCACAGTCCTAGTCCTCCCATTTCCAGAAGGACATAGCAAACTAGAAAAGATACTGAAAGGAAAACAAAACCAATCAACAATTCTTTTATGGAGTGCTGGGAGACCTTGCACAGGCTGGCTGCGCCTCCTTTTCCGTCTGCAGGATGTCTGGATGCTTCGCCCCCTTCTCAGCCACTGTCAGGCACAGGGGACTGCACCATTTGCAGGCAGCCAGGTCAGTGGG